GCATGGCATCAGAAAACCTGCACTGTGCCCGTTCCTGCCCTTACAATTGGCGTATGTCGGCAAGATCCATGCAGACGGGTATTGGAGCCCTCCGAAGACCTGGAGGGACTAAGGAGAACAGACTTTGCCTGTGACGACGCTGGAGGCACCATGGCGGTATAGAAGATGGATACGTCCACGAGCTACAGGATGAGACCTGGCGTGAAGGAGACGCCCGAAAGGACCAGCCAACGACACCGGAAAGGACCAGCCAACGACACCGGATAGGACCAGCCAACGACACCGGAAAGGACCAGCCAATGACCCCTGAGGCAGCAGGCCATTGCTGAAGCAGGGAGAGGCCAATGGACTGATAGACTGATGAACTGATGATTTTGGACTGACAATCCCGCCAGAAGGCGGAGGACCTTAGCAGGTTATGTTTATTTTTTGAGAATCTGGGGGTGGCCAGTGGGCCTAGATGGCCAAAAGCAGCCTGTGTATGCCCAGTGGCCAGGTGGAGGAGAAAAGCCAACTAAGGTGGCAAAAGCTGGTACTGATGCTAAGTTGAGAAGCCCTAAAGCGGCTGTTAAGCAGCCTGGGTATGCTGAAGCCCTGTGAGTCTCGTAAAATCACCTGTGGGTGATGCCCTGCTCATTCTTGAGTGAGGGTGAGGAGCTGAGGAGCCCGTCCTTGGGGGACGGGTGGGGAATGTGTCTTGGGGTGGAGCCCAAGCCAAATGCAAAGTTTGGATCCCCAACCCATGTGCTTGTGCAGTGGGTTGGCTTGAGAGCAGGGGTCTGTGAGTCGCATGGGTGGCCATGAAGGCCGAGTGTTGGAGCGACTGCAGACAGAAACCCTGAGGGTTGGCGATTACCCCCAACAGAATAAAATTGCCAATCCCAGAGCTAGTGCATCCTGGGGGTGGATGCTGTGTGTGCCTTGTAGCCGAGACTACAGCCAGAGAAGGCCAGGAAGCCTGACGGCTCCTGGTGTGATATAGTAGATGCCGTGAGTGGTTCCCCTCCCTCGTATGAGCAGTGCCTTCGGCAGCAGATTTGGTGGCTCATCTGCTGGTACCAATAATTGTCTTTTGCACTTGGTTGGTGCCCTGCCTGGACTTATTTGTGTTCTGTTGTATTTTGTTATATTGTATTTTGTTATATTTGATGTATTTGCTTTTGTGGGCCATGGCTGCATTGTTTGTTTGCTTAGAAAATTGTATATATATATGTATAGACTGTATGGCAGAAAACCCTGAGGGGGTGGACTGTAGGGTAAGGTAAAAGGTATCAGGCTTTTCTGCCCTTCCGCCATCAGGATAGATGAGAGAGCCCTGTGATCCTGGGTGCATGCCTGATGGCGGGCACCTGAAGTGGGTACACCTGCGCTAAAAGACTGATAATATAAGGGTGGTGCAGCAGAGTGCGGTGTGGTGGGAGTGCGGTGTTAAGGGTGGAGGAGTGGAGTGTACGGAGGAGTGTTGGAGCGACTACAAACCACGGCGAAGAGCATGTGGCTGCTAGAACCGTTTATAAACCTGCTCAGAATGGGTTGGTTGCTTTACAACTGGTAATTTTTCAACTTTACAATGGTGTGAAAGCGATATGCATTCAGTAGAAACTGTACTTCGAATTCTGAAGTTTGATGTTTTCCAAGGCCAGAGATATATGCAGCACTGTACTTTGTTGTGATGCTGGGCAGTGGCAGCAGCTAGCCGCATGTAGTGCCAGCAAAGCACAGGGCAAGTTCAGTATGGATTTGGGCAGATGGAGAAAGGAGAGCCCTGGAGCCCTCGGTGGATTTTACAGGTTTTATTTTTTTTTATTATATTTATTTGTTTTTTAATAAGATTGATTTATTTATTTATACAAGTACTGGGTATAGTCAGAAGTGCGGAGGGTGAGAGAATTCACCGGAGCCAGAGCAGGGAACCGGACAGACAGACTGACTAAATACACTGCTGAGGGGAGCAGTGGGCACAGTAGAAGAGGTCTGTGCGCCATGTGGGACCCTCGCTGGTGGCCGGGGAGGCCCTAATATCCATCTCTTAATGAATTAAAGGAGTTGGTTTTCTCTTCATTTGAAGCAGGTGATTTCTTTCTTTTTTTTTTTTTTTTAAAGATTTATTTATTTATTTATACAAGAACTGGGGTACAGGCCAGATGCGTGGGAGGGTGAGAGGTTCACCAGAGACAGAGCGGGGAACAGAACAGGCAGACTGACTGAATACACTGCTGAGGGAAGCAGCGGGCGAGACAGGAGAGGTCTGCCGCACCAAATAGGACCCTCGCTGGCCGGCATGGAACCGGCACTGCAGAGGCTGCGGACAGCCTCATAGCGCGGTGCTCAACCGCCTGCGCCACCAGGGGAGGCCCTGAAGCAGGTAATTTCTTTCATCGATTAAAGGACAAACTGGCTGACTTGCATTTAGAAGACACAAATACTTATCTTTAAACCCAAGAATCTTACTCTATATAGTGAGAGTCACTGATAAAATGGGGGGCTCGTGCATCCCACTCCCCACTCAATCCACTGCCTATACTCTGTAGGGAAAATGGAGTTACTCAGGCTTTTTTTCGCCTTTCCACTACCAGCCTCTATGGCTACCACCTGTGGCCTTGCTCTCCTCTCAGGTTTCACTGCCCACACGTGATTATTGTGTTGGTGCAAAAAGTACTCAGGAGGGAGAGCACAGGGCACGCATGGACATCTGGGGCCTAGAAGAATGAGCACAGGGTGTGCATGCCTATAATATGGACAACTGGGAGGTCATTAAGATGAAGATCAACAGAAAAGACGCCAGAAAGGGAGCGCAGAGATTGTGGGGGGCTGGGAGGATTGCTTGCTGTCAACTTTCCAGCCCCTATCTCCTCACGCTTGCCTCCCTTTTTGCTGGCCTGCCTATATCTGGTCCCCAGCTTCAGCATTAAAGGGCTGTTAAATCTACCTAAGGCTCCAAGATTTCTTATTCATTTGCCCAATGAACCTGCATGTCCTGGTCCTGATTTGCCACTGCAATTGGCCTAAGTCAGCAGGATTCATCGCAGATGGAGAGAGGATAAGACAGTTCACAAGCAGGATGCTTAGCAGAGTCACTCTCATTTATTGTTATTTTTCTTCCCTTTCTTTTTGTTTAAAAGATTTATTTATGCACACAAGAACTGGGGTACAGGCCAGAGGTGTGAGGGTGTAGGGTAAGTTATTTTCAGGCTTTTCTGCCCTTCCGCTATTAGCATTGATGATGGATCCTTGTGGGCCTGAATGCATGCCTGATGGAGGGCACCTGGAGTAGGGTATGGGCATGCATAAGTGGGTACACCTGGGCTAAGGCTGCGCTTATAAGGGCGGCGTCACAGGGATGCCAGGAGAGCAGAGAACGAAAGAACGAGAGCTAAAGAAAGGAGCAAAAGAGAAGCAGAGACCACCAGAGAACTCTGGAGAGCACAGACAGAGTGAAGACTTGCTGGGGGATGGGAGGCCTGCCAGCCTCCTGGCCTCCCAGCACCCCTGCCTGCTGTGTACCCAGTAAAATCCCAATAAAAGCCACAGAGTGCTCCAGGACTTCTCCTTTACTCCATCTGCTTGGGTCATAGAGATCCTGCCCTGTGGCCTTCCCACCGCTACAGGGGGGTGAGAGGATTCACCAGAGACAGAGTGGGGAACAGAACAGGCAGATTGATCTAAATACACTGCTGATGGGAGCAGTGGGCGAGTCAGGAGAGGTCTGCTGCACCATGTGGGCCACTCCCTGGCCAGGGATTGAACTCGTGCTGCAGTGGCTGCAGACAGCTTCATAGGCTGCGTCTCAACCTCCTGCAACACCAGGGAGTCCCCTGTTGTTATTTTTCTATTTAAAATCCAACTATGTTATCCTGTACTTTTTGTAGGTCCTCTACTTACTGGTTTTCTACTACTGTACTCATTCACATTTTATTTTATTTTTTTATTTTTTATTTTTTTAAAGATTTATTTATTTATTTATACAATCCTCTGGTGAGAGGATTCACCAGAGCCAGAGCAGGGAGCAAGGCAGGCAGAAGGACCGAAGTACACTGCTGAGGGGAGCAGTGGGCGGCAGGAGAGGTCTGAGCGCCATGTGGGACCCTCGCCGGTGGCCGGGGAGCAGCCGGGGATCGAACCGGTGCTGCAGAGGCTGCGGGCAGCTTCGCAACCCAGCGCTCAACTGCTGTGCTACCAGGGAGGCCCCCTCATTCACATTTTAAACTTCACATAAAATACCATATTTAGCCAAATGGATATGGGCATGCAAACTAAGGGGGTGAACATCTGACCCATGCGCAAAACAGAATGGAGGAGGCATAATAGCAATATCCTATATTGCCCAGTGAACACTATTCTTTAACAAATATACAGGAACATATGGTAATATAAACATGAGTGGAAGAATTTCAATAATGCTCTGAAAAAAGGGATGCTGGTACATTTTGTAAGGTGAGAACCATTTCCAAAAAGGCAAGCGTTATAGTTCCAGGGGAAAAATTCCATCCTGAGATCCCCACCATGGATTTCATATCTTGCCCCTTGCTATAAAGATACTATAGTTTTCGTTCTGAAATTTCCAGACACTCTGGCCATGATTCTACACAAAAAAGAAGACCCACTTGCATCCTTATTGCACCTGATAGCCACATGACCTGTTATCATAGTATTACTTTTTCACAAAGTAGTAGTGGCAAATAAGATTTACCTTGAGTTACTCAGGGTAGATGGAAATAAATCTAGGTTTGTAAGAGCTATGGAAAGTTTTACAAAAGTTAAGATTTCCCTCTGGACCTCATAAAGTTGTTTGGACAATGCTGAAAGAGATCACAGAAAGTCTAACTGTGTTGAGAGAAAAACCACACAAGTTGGAGAGCTGGACAGATAGTCGATTACAGAGAAATTTTCCTTTATGAATGTCTGTAATTTTAATAACTATCCCTGCACTATCTTATCTACTGATATTTTCTGGCCTTGAGTAGCTGCCCCCCTCAGCTCAGGGCACCGTGGCTGGTTACCTGACATTATGGGGCTGCTTGTCACAGGACAGCACGGTGCTGGCAATGGACTGCTGTAGGTGCTGTCGCTGCCGCCTCAGGATCTGCTGGAAGTCATCTTCCAATGTCTGTACTACATAACGCAGAAAAAGGACTCGCCCGGGCAGATTTTGTCCCTGTGGGAGAAAAAAAGAGAAGTCAGTATTTCCTTAGTCTCCCATATGACAGTGAGCATTGGGTTCTCACAAATACTAAGTCCAAAGGGTGGCCATGAGTGAACATGTATGTCTATACTTAAAGAGAGGCTCCTGGGAGAGAGCGGCAGTCTAGGTCATCACAAAAGAGAGCAAATAGGGCAACTGCTAGAAGAATCATACCCTAAGAGACCACTTTATAAAATCCCTGTTTCCTCATCTGACTTCTTTCCCAGTGAACAGGAACCCCGTCATAAAAATGCCTAGTCAACAAACTCTCCACTCTTAATATCAGAAACTAGGGATCAAAAAAATCTAGGCATCTACAGATAATTAGAATTGCTTAACAGAAGTCTGTCAGAAATGCTGGGATTGTAAATTTTCTGATTTTAAAAACAAATATGGAAAGTCAATCTCTCTCTCACGTATCTGAAAACGGTCTCAGGATAAAGCCTAAACTGCGTATAGCAGAACAGAGAGGCAGAAACTGGCTCCTTAATGACTGCTGAGCTGCTGGATCAAGCAACCATGACCTCTACCCCACTGCTTAACTTTCTGTAACGTGAACTGTGCATTCCCTCATTGTTCCGAGAAGTCTGCGCTGGGCTTTCTGTTATAGCTGAGATGATCCTGATCATCCAGATGCAGGTAAAGAACACGAGACTCAGTGGTACACAAGCCTCACTTATTGATGTATTTATCTATGTATGTGTTTATGTTTGTATGTTTTAAGCTCAGTCTATGCCTTTTGAGTCTCAGTGTCCTTGTGATTCACATCATGTAATTCTGACCTTACTAAAGCCAGTGTAAGTAGTATGTGTCACACAGTAGTCAGACATGCATAACTGTTGATTTCTTTTACTGCGAGACAGGTGCTGGGTTGTGGGTCTAGGAGCCCAGGTTTTGAACTCATGAGAATGAGAAGGCACCAGACCATTTCTGGACTTTGGGATCTCTTCAAGTACCAGTGGCAGGCACATTTTCTAGGAATATAAACTTGCAGACCAGGATATGGTTCATATACCAGGAAAAAGGATGAACATTTTTAAAAAGTGAGATATAATTGATATACAACATTGTATTAATTTTAGGCATACAATACGTTGATTGGATATTTGTACATATTGCAAAATGGTCATCACAATAAGTCTACTTAACATTGATCACCACACATAACTACGAAATTTTTTCTTTTGATGAGAACCTTTAAGATCTATCTACTCTGCTAGTAATTTTCAAACATACAATATTGTTAATTATAGTCACCATACTGTCTACTGCATCTGCAGGACTTATGACTGAATGTCTGTACTATTTGAATCCCTTACTTATTTCCTATACCCTTCCCCAAACCTGTGACTCTGGCAACTACCAATCTGTTCTCTGTATCTATGAGCTTGCATTTTCTTTGTTTTTAATTCCTTATATTACACATATAAACGAGATCATATGGTATTTGTCTTTCTCTGATTTATTTCAGTGAGCATAATACCCTCAAGGTCCACCCACATTGCAAAAGGAAAAATTCCTGTCTTTTTTATTGACTGAATAATATTCTGCTATAAATATATGTATTTTCTTTATCCATTCATCCACTCATGGACACTTAGGTTATCATCGTCTTGGTTATTATAAAAAATACTGTAATGAACATGGGCGTGTGTATACCTTTTGAGTTAGTGTTTTCATTTTCTTTGGATACATACCCCAAATGAGTTTGCTATATCATATGGTGGTTCTATTTTGTTTACTGAGGAAATTCAATACTGTTCTCCATAGTGATTGCACCAGTTCACATTCTCACTGACAATGCACAAAGGGTTCTCTTTGTTCTGCACCCTTGTCAATACTTGTTATTTCTTGTCTTTTTGGTAACAGCTATTATAACTGATGTGAAGTAAAATCTCATTGTGGCTATGATTTGCGTTTCTGATTAATGATACTGTCCTTTCATGTACAGTTGGCTATCTGTATAATTACTATTCAAATATTCTGTTCATTTTTTAATCAGATTGGTTTTTTTTTTTTTTTTTTTGCCAGTGAGTTGTAAGAGAGCATTCTTAGCATGTATCATTTCTTTCTTTCCTTTTGGAGAGGAGATAAAGGTGGGATATCTTTGTCTTTCAAAATGTATATTTTTCTCTAATCCTTATGATTGGAAACACATGGTTTTTAAAAAAAATCAAGTATTTAGGCTAGATTTATGACCCCTAAAAAAAGTCAGGCATCCCTGGTGGTGCAGCGGGTGGCACAGCGCAGCGCTGTGAAGCTGTCCGCAGCCTCTGCAGAGCCCGTTCAATTCAAGGCTGATCAGGGAGATTCCCAAATGGCACGGCAGACCTCTCCTGTCTAGCCCAATGCTCCCCTCAGCACTGTATTTCAGTCATTCTGCCTGTTCTGCTCCCTCCTGTTTCTGGTGAATCCTCTCACCCTCTTGCACCTCGGGCTGTACCCCAGTTCTTGCATAAATAAATAAATCTTTAAAAAAACAAAAACAAAACCAAAAGTCTTCTGGGGATATCACTCTCAAAAACCACTTTGTCTTCAGTACCATAAAGAGAAAAATTTTGATTTTTATTTTCTGATGGTTACCTTAAACATCTTTAAGGAAATAGACTTTTTTGCTATTCCTTGATTTATCAACTTTAGACATTATAGTTAGTTCCTCAGACTAAAATCACTTATGCTAAAACATAAGTGTTTTCTTCCTAAAACAAATTCCTCAATTTATGTTCCATCATCTACAGGTAGTATCTCTTGACTTCCCACTTTTAAGATAAGGATGTTATTAACAGCCTTACTAGTCTCAGAAAGCCTAACCTTTTCTATATTCCAAACTGTATCTTCTACTTTTTCATTTTCAAGACTAATAAAACTGTCTTCCATGTTTTGTATATACGCTGATTTTATTTTATTTTATTTTTAAAAGATTTATTTATTTATACAAGAACCGGGTTCAGGCCAGATGTTCGGGAGGGTGAGAGGATTCACCAGAGACAGCGGGGAACAGAACAGGCAGACTGACGAAATACACTGCTGAGGGTAGCAGCAGGTGAGACAAGAGAGGTCTGCTGTGCGGTGAGAGTTTCTCTCCGAGTTTCTCTCCCGCCGGCTGGGATCGAACCCATGTTGCAAAGACTGCAAACAGCTTCACAGTGTGGCGCTCAACTGCCTGCGTCACCAAGGAGGCCCTATACACTGATTTTAAACATTGTTACTAAATAGTATTTACAGTATGAGGACCTTGTTGAAAGTATTTACTACTCTGGAAATCCATATGGTTTTGTGAAACCTTTTGATTTTTGTAAAGCTTCTTTTAAAATCCTCTCTGTATTGCCTGCTATCATTGCATTACTTCTTTCAATTTCTCAGGAGTGGTGTTGAATCTTGAGAATATCCTTCTTTTCCAAGTAGTTTGCTATTGTTTTTTAAAACAACTTTAATGCTATACCATAAAATTATACCATAAAATTTATACCATAAAATTTGTGATTTGTAATAAATTCATCAAGTTCAACAACTACATCATAACATTTAAAAATTTCATTTCTAGAGTAAGAGCCCTCATGTCTGTTTACGGCTCATTCTCATTCCTACCTCCAGACCCTGGCAACCACTCATCTATGTTCTGTTTCTTGATAATTTGCCCTTTCTGGACATTTTAAATATAGAGAGTTATACAATATGTTACTTTGTATGTGTGTGCAGCTTCTTTTACTTAGCTTAATGTTTTTTGGGGGTTCATACGTGTCATAGCATATGCTTTTTATTACAAGATAGTATTCTAGTATATGGATATAGCACATTTTATTCATTCAATATTTGATGGATATAGGGGTAAAGGAGGATTTCCTCCTGGGTTCATCATTCTAAGATGGGTAGGAAGAGGGCCAGAGCACAGGAAATATCACAGCTTTTCTATCCCTTTTGATGGAGTCTCTTCTTGGTTATGTAATGACCTGGATACTGCAGGTTCTCAACTGGTCTCTAGAATCTTCACAAAGGCATTCTGGTTCATATGTTGCTAACTTGGAGTCTCCATGGGGGAATAAGGGCCTGGACCCTGTCTATTACCTTGATGATTTTTTTTTTTTTTAAAGTTTTTTTTTTTTTTATTTATTTGTTTGTTTGTTTATACATGCACTGGGTACAGTCAGAAGCACGGGAGGGTGAGAGAATTCACCAGAGCCAGAGCGGGGAGCAGAGCAGGCAGAAGGACCGAAGTACACTGCTGAGGGGAGCAGCGGGCGGCAGGAGAGGTCTGCGCGCCATGTGGGACCCTCCTCCGGTGGCCGGGGAGCAGCCGGGGATCGAACCGGCGCTGCAGAGGCCGCGGGCAGCTTCGCAACCCAGCGCTCAACCGCTGCGCCACCGGGGAGGCCCTTGATGATTTTTTTTTTTTTTAAAGATTTATTTTTATTTATACAGAGCTGGGGTACAGGCAGAGTCACGGGAGGGTGAGAAGATTTGCCAGAGACAGAGCGGGGAGCAGGACAGGCAAAAGGATCAAAGGCACTGCTAAGGGGAGCCGCGGGTGAGACAGGAGGGACCTGCCTCACCATGTGGCATTCTCCCTGGCCGGCCGGGAATTGAACTGGTGTTGCGGAGGCTGTGGACAGCTTCATAGCGCTGTGCTCGACCCGCTGCGCCACTGGGGAGGCCCACCTTGATGATGTTTTTAAGTGACTCTCTTTTAAGTTTCTGTGTTATTTCACTCCAGTCTGGACTGATTGCTTCCTAGGCCCACTATTTACTGTAAATCTTAGGAGTTTTCTTTATTAATCTTCTGGGTTAGAGCTAGTGTTCCTGTGCCTTCTTTTTTTGATTATTCTTTCATTCTTTTGATACATACTTTCAGGTGTCTTTTAAGAAATGGGTTGTAGGGATATTTTTTGAAGTTCCTGAATGTCTAAAGATGTCTTTATCTAATCTTACTCTTGTCTAATGGTTTGGCTGTTTATAGAATTTTAAGTTGAAGATAATTTGTCTCATCCAAATGCTTTTGGGTAAAAGCTGGCAGTAAAGTTTGGGGATCCCTAAAGGTCAGAATGTGGAAGACTTTTTCCCCTGGAGCACTAACTCCACACTAGCTGCCTTCATTTATCTTTCTTTAGATAATGAATCTTGCCTTTTACCTGAAGGATAAATAACCCAGTGACAAAACTTTCTGGACTCAAGAATGGAGAGGTAGGCTGCTCCAGCTACAAACTTTCAGCACATATTCATTTATAGCCCCGATCTGACTCTAACCCTCTTATATTTTGTTTGTGTTTCTGAGTTCAAAACCTTCTTTACCCTCAAGGGCAGATTTCTGTCCCCTTGGCTGCAGCCCCTTCACATATATTCTGGCCTGTGGCTTTCTCTGCCCAGCTTCACCAGTCATTACTCTTATATTTCCTTTAGCTCTTCCAGCCTTCCTTCATACCTATTGTCCTTTCCCTTCTTTTCATTACCATGAATTTACTATTATTTTTATTGGATCTCAAGGAGAGGGAAACATATATTTACTTAATCTTGAATTGAAGGTGGTACTGTTTCCATAAGAATTTGTTGGTGAGGGTGGAATAATGGCAAAGATTTAATACCAGCTTTGCTGTGACTTTTGTTTCTAGTTAAAAATTCCTTAAAGATGCCTTAAGATTAAAAAGATACACCCACAATCATTACGTTACCTCTTCCTCCATGACATAGGCAAGCAGCTTCCAGTCCCACTCTACTGTCTTGGAGTTAGCTGGATGTAGCCTGAAAATAAGTGATATCTATTAGAGTTCTGGAGAGTTTAGTGCAAGAAGGGATGGGATCGGTAATATGAAAGGAGCAAGAAGTCTCCTGTTAACCTTAGTACTCTTGCTGACACTATGTTATCTTACCATGTCACTTAAGGGTAGTAAAACTTCATTGTTTTTTACTATCCAGTATTTACTTCCCTCTTGGGAGGTATTAGTACCCCAATTTTGCCTTCAAGAAATCAACTTTATTAATTAATTTTAGCCCACTGGCTTTACCTAGTAGGGCCCTGGGATATAGCTTGTGAAGCAAGTAGAGCCAATCTTGATATTTTACCCTTCATCTCACAGTGGTTGGCTCAAAACGGGCTAATGTCTCATGTTAGGACAATTAAAGCCTACAAAATTCAATTTCACAACTCTTGTGTGAATATAATGCAGTGGACTCTCTCACATATTAAGAGTGTCAAAAAAGCTAGAGGCTAAGACAGCTACCAGGTAAAACCTGGAAACTGAACCAGAACAAAGATAAAATATGAGTCATGGTAACCATTTCTGAACACTGAGTTAGGTCTTATTCGCAGATTTTTAATAATATGAGTCATTAAATTTTCCCAACTCAAAGCCAGTTTGGATAGGTTTTTCCATCACGTGCAATTCAAAAAATACTAATTATAGTAAGCCACCCTCCCTGATGGAAAGCTTAGCTGAATAAAGCTTAGGGAAGTGATAGTTATGCCTCAAGTCCAGCAACCCTAGAAAATTTGCCAGTAGCCAAGGTTCATACTGTTGAATTTTCATGAGAAGCATGTAGGCCTCCTTTAGGACATCCACGGTCTCAGAGCCACTGAGTAGGATTTTCTGGATGATGTGAGCCACAATTTCTCTGGGTGGGTAATGCTGTGGTGACACAAAGTCCATCAAAAACTGCACAGTCCCCAGGGGAAAATTTTCTTCAATGGTGTTTGTTACCATTCTTAGTCTTCGATGAGGGATGGGTTCTAATTTTTGACCCTTGCTCTGCATAAACAAAAGGAAATAAATTAGGATGGGTTTCTACAGACATAAAAACAAGAGGTTCTGGAACAGTTTGACAATAGTGAAGTTTCCCTTGCATTTCATAGTTTATTCATAGTTTAAAAAAAAAAAAGACAGGGAAGTCTTATCTAAAAAAACTTTTGATGACATAGAAAATGCTTATATTAATTTAAAAAGAATTCAAAGTTTACATGTAACATTTCATATATGTTAAAATATAAAATTAAAAAAATAGAAGGGAAAGTACAACAGAATCAAGACTAGACAAAATTGATTTTGGATGAGGGTGATGAGATATTTAGTGGTAGGTTGGATGCTATAACAGATGCTGAAATAAAAAGTTTCAAAATTCTTTTGTTTTAGGAGAAGAATCCCATTTTGTTGAGTATTTTTTGAGCCAAAGTAAATATTAAGTTGATCCCCATCCCATTATTTTCATAAAGACTGGGAGAGAATATATTGGGAAAGTGGTTTTCTATTGTTTGGGTGGTAGAATAATGGATGATTTTTCCCTCTACATGCTCTTTCATATTTTAAATTTTTTCCATAAAAGCCATATATTACTTTTGTAATCAGACAAAAACCAATGTATAGGATTACATTAACAACAATCCTAAGAAATAATATTACTATGCTTCCTATTTTATAGATAAGGAAACAGATTTAGAGAGTAAGCATCTGTCACGTACAGTGGCAGAAGCTGGTTTCATACATAGACTGCCTAACTCCAGAGTTACTCTCTAAATTTGCACTCTCTATACAACAAAAATAATGCATTTTTGTTAAAATACCAATTGTTAAAAATTTTAAAATGCCATATGAAAAGACAACCAGGAAAGAAATACATCAAATTATTAACAAAATAAGTACTGACTGATAAAACAATGGGTATTTTTAATATTATTAAAATGTTTTATAATAAAAACAAACATTACTTTTAAAATTTTAAAGTAATAATAATTATAAAACAGGCTACCAAATATTTCATAGTTTAAGCATAACAGAGTAAAATATGATGGTTGGGACTGCTATTCCAGAAAATCTTCTGGAGGACAGAAATCCAGTTATCTTTCCTCATGTCTCAAATCTCAAATCCCCCTGAAGTTGTTGATAGACTAATGCTATAAAAGGCATGCAAATATATTTAAGAGAGAAGATAAAAGAAGAACAAAATCATGTTTTGGAGTCTGGTTTTATATTTGACACTTTATAATCTTGAAACTATTATTCATTTCTTGCCTACAAATGGGAATATCTATAAGCAGATACAAGTTCAAAAACTGTTTTGATATCTGGAAACTTGAGGGGAAATCATACTGAGAAAGTACTTCTGTAGACCCTGTAAGGTGGCTTTGTGTTTTAAGGCAAACATTCTTTATGATATGGCATTATGACTTATTTTAGAGCTAAAAAAAGAGAGTCAGAAGAAGCCAATGGCTAGTGAGTAGCAACATGGGGACTGACTGTTGGTGAAAATGACCTAGTGAAGTACTCATTGAAAGCTCAAAGGAAGTCACAGGAGAGAGAGAAAATATGTACAGATGTATTCTGGAAAGCTGAGGTTTGTTAAGAAGGTAAGAAAAAGATGAAGAAAAATCCACTTTACCTAGTCTAACAATTGCCTTATAATTCAAGTACATAGAAGAGGGTCCATGGTGTCCCCATCTACACCTATTGACAGCTCTGTCGGTGCCTATACTGTACTACAGCCTTGATTAGGGAGACAAAAAGTACTCTTGATAGTAGACAGAAGCAAACCTGAGGCAAACCCACAGGAAAAAAGAATGATCTGGTGGTTGGGTACAGTAATTCAGAAGGGATAGTTATAAAACATTACAAGAAAACAACAAGAATTAAAACGAGAGGGAAAAAATTCACTCTCCAAGGCTGAACAATGTGAACGCTTAATGTGTGCTGAGCTGGATTACTGATTGCTCCAATAAGGAGAGTGTATCATTTGACTTACTGAAATCAGTTCTCTTAATGTTGGGGATGTGGTTTTGGGTAATGAAAAAATAGCTTCGTATTTTAGGACTTAGAGTCTGGCTCAGGTCTTCCCAATGAAGCTAATGGGAAGTGGGATTTCCATTAAAATCTTAAAATTGAATTTCCTCCCCCAAAAGTCAGAGAGTAATAATTTTGGAGGCACTGAAGTGTTGGAGTATCTTTGTGATGTGGGAGCTGTAATAAGGGCACCAGAAGGGAAAGGCATAGGAACTGAAGAGAAGTATGGCCTGGGATGAGTTTGACACGCAAACGGGCACTTTTCTTGTGGTATCTCATTCGATGATCCTCTGAGATACGTTCTTATCTCCATTATACAGATAGAAACCTCAGGCTCAGAAAAGTAAAGCGACTTATACAGTGCCAATTTTAAGTTTGAGGCTGAAATTTAAACCCAGATCTGAGTCTACATTGAATGGTTATACAAGTAGGGGAATGATAAAAATGTCAACTTTATACTAGTCCTCTCATGCATGGACTCCTTAGAGCAGACTGACTGACAACATGAGAGGCCATTCCCACGGACATCGAATCCTTAGGGGAAGATATATTTGCTCACCTCTCTTGTGTCTTTATCTGGTATTAGTGTCTGGAAGAAAAGGTGATGCACTGGAGGTCGTAAGAAGTACTTCAGTCTATGCAGGCATGGTTTGTTGTACAGCCCACCTTGTGTTTGTGCCTGTACCTGGGCAGAACTGGGGTTGCCAGGCTCTGACAGTGATACTTCTTTCCTGGCTGGGGTTTCTGTGATAGAGAGCCAAGGAACTTTCTCTAAGGAAGCATCAGACTCTGGAGTCTGTGGGCTGGGAGAACAGCTTGGAGAGCTTGGAGCTGAGATATCCATAGGAGTATCACAGTTCTGTATATCATTTGGGGGAGAGCCAGGTCTCTCCAGAGGTGAGTGAGGCAATTCTCCAAGTGAGTGTGGCATGACTCCTGGCAAGTGTGACATATCTCCAGGTGGGCCTCTCACATCTCTTGGTGAGTATGGGACTTCTCCAGGCGAATATGTCACACGTCTTGGTGGCTGTGGCATGTCTCCATGCAACTGTGGCATGTCTGCTGGCAGCTGTGGCATGTCTGCTGGTGGCTGTGCCATGTGTCCTGGTGACTGTGGCTTGTCTCCTGGTGTCTGTGGCACATGTCCCAATGATGGTGGCATATCTTGCAGCTGTGCCATACCTGCTGGATATGATATGTCTTGAAGTGGGCCTGATACATCTTGAGGTAAGCCCAAAGTGTCTTGAGGTGGGCAGAGTGAGTCTTGAGGTGGGCTTGGTGAGTGTTGAGGACACCACAGTAAGTCTTGAGGTGGGCCTGGCATATTCTGCTGAGGGCATGGAACATTCTGAGGGCATGGCACATCTTGAGGAGGACATGGCACTTCTTGAGGCAGGTGAGGCAAAGCTTGTAGCTGGTACTGCGCTGTTTGTGATGGGCATGACAAGGCTCGTGGTGGGCATGAGGAGGCTCGCGGTGGACATGGTGAGGATCGCAGTGGGCACGGCAAGGCTCGCAATGGGCATGGCAAGGCTGGTGGTGGGCAAGGCACATCTTGCTGTAGGCATGGCAAGGGTACCCTTTGATTGCTGCTGCTACCATTATTGCTTGTTGGGGAGAGGGAGTGAACATCTGAAGCCAGCTGTAGGCTTGCCAAGAAGCCCAGGTCACCTTTGAAGGTGGTTGAGCTACAGTTCGGCTCTGCTGGATAAACAGAGTCCCCACCGATGGGCGGAAGGAGCTGGCGGCCTTCGAATGTGGTTTCTTCCAAAAGATCCAAATCCACAGGATCGCTGTTAATGATCCTCCGTGCTGCAGGCCGAGAACTTCTGTCCACTCGCCCTTCTAGCGCTTCTTTGCTAGAGAGACCAGTACATGTCTGAAGACTGGCTGGCTCCTTCTGGGAAGGAGGAACAGGCTCTAGAGTCAAGTCAAGGGTGGCAATAGGTCTATTTTCTTCTTCAGTTCTTGTCAGGTCAATCACACACAGTCCACTGCGATCCTTGGCCCTTGGTCTGGTTTCTCTAGTTAAATCAATGAAGTCCTATTGAAGGATTATGAGAAGATAAGAGGTCAAGTAGGAAATTTCAGCTTGAAGAAGACTTAAATCTTTAGCTTTAAAGGCTAAACATATTCTCCCTTTCTTGACAATTTATATATATTGTACAACATAAACATTAGTTTATTTCCTTTTGTCAAAATTTTGCTACTGTCAAAGCTTTCAATTTTATACCTCCTAATTATCCAAATGAGACATGCTGTCCAAATAGTGGACAGATTAGTAGGGAAGATTTCAACCTTAAGTCAAAGTAAAAAGCAACCACTGTTTGGAAAACAAATACATGGATAAGCTACAATGAAGCTAAAGAAGAGAAGCTAATATAAGAGATCCTGCTATGTACTAAGAACATGTTGAGTACTTCCACACTATATTTTTAAGTCTTAATTTTTTTAAAAAGATTTATTTATTTATTTATGCATACAAGAGTTGGGGTACAGGCCAGAGATGCGGGGGGGGGGGCGGGGTGAGAGGATTCACCAGAGACAGAGTGGGGAACAGAACAGGCAGACTGATGGAAATACACTGCTGAGGGGAACAGTGGGAGAGACAGGAGGGGTCTGCCTTGCCATGTGGGTTGCCCCGACTGGCTGGGGATCGAACTCGTGCTGCAGAGGCTGAGGATTGCTTTATAGTGGGGTGCTTAACCCCTTGCACCACCAGGGAGGCCCTATATTTTTAATTCTTATGGTGACCCTATCAGATAGGCATTATTATCTCCATTACATACATGGGTTAACTGGAGTTCAGAGGGGGTGAGGCTGTTTACCTATGGATAATACAGCAGAGTAGCAGATAAGGCATTCAAGCTCAAATCTGTTTGCCTCTTTCCCTTTTAGGATCTATGAATGTACAACTTCATTCAATATGTAATTAGCCTGTAGGCAGATATAAAGGATGATATAATAAGGGTTACAAAACAGACTGAGTCCGAACCCTAACCAGATTACTGAAAAACTTCCTATTTTCATCCCCATTCCTTGATAAAATGATCATGCAGTTCACAAAGTGATGTGCCATGAAGCTCTGTGCCATGAGCCTGGAACAAAATTTTTCTACTTTCCTGGTGTCTCCTCACCTGGTTGTGTAGTGGTATGGTAGGCATCAATTGCTATGCCTACCACAGTTACCATGCTATTTCTCTTAATAGATGTGATGGTCACTATGAATGGCACCAAAGCAGGGCACAGAATTCTGTGTGGGGCAAGTGAGAAGCTGGCATGCACTTCAAGCTGGGATAGGAATTGTTTGGTGAAACCTTTATCACTGCCTTTGGTGGCTCTCTACTGCTAGTTGAATTCAACATAAATAGCTGTAAGGTCATAGAGGGTCTGACTCAATTTCTCTTCCATTGTCAAATGCTAAAGTGCAACATCACCATACCTCTCCCACTTGAAACTGACCACATGACCTATAGCTATAGGACAAATACCTTTGTCAGATTCATTAAGGTCCTTCATTATAAGGTCTGTACTTGCCTGTAGCCTGACTACGCTCTCTCCTTATGTGATCAAGTCACACACAAACGACTATAGATTCCCAAATATGTCTTGTTTTCTCAAGTACCTTTATCTTGTTTATATTCCCTCTTTTCCCTGGAATGACTATTATTCCTTTGATTGTTTGGAAGTTTTCTGTCTTTTAAGACTCAGCACAGATATTACTGTGTATGAAATTCTTCCAGAATACTTCTTGTTCCAGAATAAATTACTTCCTCAATCTCCACTGCATCTGTGCAAACTTCTTTATCCCAAATAATTTAAAAAAATGATATTAAAATATATTTTATGTCATTTTCCAATTAACCATTGTTGGTAAACAGAAACACAATTGATTTACATGTATCTTCTGGCCTTGCTGTATTCATTTTCTAATTCAAGTAACTTTTTGTAGATTTCTTAGGGTTTTCTATATAAACAATCATGCTGTCTACAAATAATGAAGTTTTACTTCTTCCTTTCCAATCTATGTGCATTTTTGTGTGGGGTGTGTGTGTGCCTACTGCAATGGCTAAGGCACTGAATATAATTCTCAATAGAAGCGTTGAAAGCAGACACTCTTGCCTTGTTCTTGAACAAGGAAAGAATTTCAGACTTTCACCTTTAAATATAATGTAAGCTCTGGCATTTTCTTCCTTATTTTTTTTTTAAGATTTATTTATTTATACAAGAACTGGGGTACAGGTCAGAGGCGCAGGAGGGTGAGAGAATTTCCCAGAGACAGAGCGGGGAGCATAACAGGCAGACAGACCAAAAACACTGCTGAGCAGCGGGCGAGGCAGGAGAGGTTTGCCGTGCCATGTGGGTTTCTTCCTGGCCAGCCGGGAATCAAACCCACACTGCAGAGGCTGCGGACAGCTTCACAGTGCTGCGTTCAACCCGCTGAGCCACCGGGGAGGCCCTTCTTTCTTATTTTTAAGGATTTATTTTACTTATTTATGCATATAAGAACTGGGGTACAAGCCAGAGGTGGGGGAGAGAGGATGAGAACCAGAGACAGAGTGGGGAGCAGAACAGGTGGACTGACTGAAATACACTGCTGAGGGGAAGCAGCCAGAGAGACAGAATCCTGCTGTGCCATGTGGGTTAGCTCCCCAGGCAGGGGATCGAATTCCTGGCTGGTGACAGCTTGATGGCGCTGAGACTTTAACCCCTGCGCCACCAGGGAGACCCAAGCTCTGGCATTTTCATAGATGACAATATCAGGTTGAAAATTTTTTTTCCCTAGTTTTATGAGATTTTTAGATGGGAATGGTTAAGTTTTGTCAAATGTGTTTACTGCCCTGGTTGAATAATCATGATATTTTTCCTTTGTATTATTAATATCAAAATTATTAATAATAATTAATAATAATTTCTAATGTTAAACTAATCCTGGAGAAAACTCTACTTGGATAAGATGAACTATTCTTTTTTCATATTGTTGGGTTTAATGTATCCACATTTAGTTAAGAATTTTTACATGTTCGTGAGTGACATTAATTTGTAGTTTTCTTTTTTTTTTTTTTAAGAATTATTATTTATTTATGCATACAAGAACTGGGATGTAGGCCAGAGTTGTGGGGGGCGGGGAGGGTGAGAGGATTCACCAGAGACAGAGTGGGGAGCAGAACAGGCGGATCTACTGAAATAACACTGCTGAGGGGAGCAGCTGGCAAGATGGGAGAGGTCTGTGGGGCTATGTGGGTTAGCTCCCTGGCTGGGGATCGAACTCAGGCCACAGCAGGGATAGCGTGATAGCACTAAGACTTAACCATTATGCCACCAAGGAGGCCCCTGTAGTTTTCTATTTTTGTAATTTTTTTTTAAGATTTTGCTATCAAATAAAATGACTTGGGAATAATTTCTACCCTCTACATTTAGATTGTATGGAGCTGATACTATATGTTTCTTGAATGTTTGACAGAAATTACCAGAAAAGTTATCTGGGCCTAAAATTTGCTTTGTAGAAAAATTTTTAATTACGAATCCAATTTCTTCAATATACATAGGACTATTAACATTTTTCTGTCTCTTTTTGTGTTCATGATGTCCATTTAGTCTACACTGGCAAATATATTTTTTTCTTTTCTATTTTTAAAGATTTATTTTTATTTATTTATACATAACAAGAACCAGGGTGTAAGCCAGAGGTGCAGGGGGTGAGAGGATTCACCAGAGACAGGTGAGAAGCAGAACAGGCAGATCTACTAAAATACACTACTGAGAGGAGCAGGACAGGAGAGGTCTGCTGTGCAATGTGGGTCGCTCCCTAGCTGGGGATCAAACTCATGCTGCAGTGGCTGGTGATAGCTTGATAACTGAGACTTTAACCCCTGTGCCACCGCCCCTGTCAAATATATTAACATAAAATTGCTTATAATAATACCTCATTATATTTTCAATTCTACAATCTGTATAGATTTATTCCTAGCCGCCCTTTTTTAATTCCCAATATTGTAACTTGTAACCTCTGTATCTTTTGTTCCTAATCAGTCTAGGTTGGAGTTTATCAATTTTATGGGCATTTTAAAAGAATCAAATTTTTCAACTGTTTTCTATTTCATGTATTTCTGTTTTTACTATTACTAGCTCCTCTCTTCCAAGTTTCTAGTTTCCTAATGCAGAAGCTTAGATAATCGATTTTAGACCTTTTTTTGAAAGTTATCATTTTTAAAGATTATTTATTTAATTTGCTTAGAAGAACTGGAGTGTAGGCCAGAGGTGCGAGGGGTGAGAGGATTCACCAGCGACAGAGTGTGGAGCAAGAACAGGTGGATCCACTGAAATACACTGCTAATGGGTGCAGCAGGCAAGACAGGAGAGGTCTGCTATGCCATATGTTGTTTAGCTCCCCGGCAGGGAATTGAACTCAGGTTGCAGGGGTGATAGCACTGAGACTTAGCCTCTAAGCCACCAGGGAGGCCCCTAGACCTTTTTTTTAGTATCAGAATTTAGAGCTGAAAATTTCCCTGTAAGTATTGCTTTGGCTTCATTTCACAATTCTAAAATGTACTCATTTTAGAATGTAATTCAAATTTACTTTCATTATTCTCAGAAAACGTACTCTGTAGGATTTAAATTTTTTGAAATACATTGATAGCTTGTTTTATGTCCTAGCACATCATCTACCTTGGTGAATGCTCCTTGTGCACTTGAAATAAAAATGTGTATTTGGAGCCTCCCTGGTGGTGCAACGGGTTAAGACACAACTTATGAAATTATCCGCAGCTACTGCAGCACAAGTTCGATCCCCGGCTGGCCAGGGAGCTGCTCGCATGGCGCAGCAGACCTCTCCTGTCTCTCCCGCTGTTCCCCACAGCAGTGTATTTCAGTTCATCTGCCTGTTCTGTTTCTCACTCTGTCTCTGGTGATCCTCTCACCCTCTGCATCTCTGGCCTGTACCACAGTTCTTTTATGTAAATACATAAACCTTTTATTTTTTTATTTTATTTTATTTTTTAAAGTGGGAGACAAAGTTTTACTTATTTTATTTATTTATATAGAGGAATGTTTTATTTATTCATTTGTTTGTTTTTTGTTTATACATGCACTGGGTACAGTCAGAAGCGCGGGAGGGTGGGAGAATTCACCAGAGCCAGAGCGGGGAGCAGAGCAGGCAGAAGGACCGAAGTACACTGCTGAGGGGAGCAGCGGGCGGCAGGAGAGGTCTGCGCGCCATGTGGGACCCTCCTCCGGTGGCCGGGGAGCAGCCGGGGATTGAACTGGCGCCGCAGAGGCCACGGGCAGCTTCGCAACCCAGCGCTCAACCGCTGCGCCACCGGGGAGGACCAATACATAAACCTTTTTTTTTTTTTTTAAATAGAGGCATGTTTTATTTATTTTTTTATTCATAATACATAAACCTTTTAAAAAAAGTTATTTGGCTGTTGTTGGACATAGTTTTATAAATGTTGATTATGTCATGGCTGAGGATAGTGTCTTTCAAATATTTTGTTTCTTTACTATTGGGCGATCCTGCTGAGCCATTACTGAGAGAAGTATATAAAAATGACCAACTATGACTGTAATTTTGATTATCCATTTGGTACAGTTTTTGCTTCATGTATTTTGAAACTCTGTTTATTAGGGGCACATATACTCTAATTGTAATATTTTCTTTTCTTTTTTTTTTTTTTTTTAAAAAATAGAGGCATGTTTTATTTATTTATTTGTTTGTTTGTTTTGTTTATACATGCACTGGGTACAGTCAGAAGCGCGGGAGGGTGAGAGAATTCACCAGAGCCAGAGCGGGGAGCAGAGCAGGCAGAAGGACCAAAGTACACTGCTGAGGGGAGCAGCGGGCGGCAGGAGAGGTCTGCGCGCCATGTGGGACCCTCCTGCTGGTGGCCGGGGAGCAGCTGGGGATCGAACCGGTGCCTCCGAGGCCACGGGCAGCTTCGCAACCCAGCACTCAACCGCTGCGCCACCGGGGAGGCCCTGTAATATTTTCTTAATGTAGTAACTCTTTTTTATCATTATGAAGAATCTTAGTCTCCAATAATCCTTCTTTACTGATGTCTATTTTTTTCTGGTATTAATATACCAGAAAATTTCTTTAATATACACTCCAAATTTCTTCTGCATGCTTTCCAAAGTATATATCTATACTTTTTTCCCCATGCATTTGTTTCTTTGCATTTAAAGTGCATACTGGGCCTCCCTGGTGGTGCAGGGGTTAAGTCTCAGCACAGGGGTTAAGTCTCAGCTATTACCAGTCACTGTGGCATGTGTTCATGAGTTCGATGCCCAGCCAGGGAGCTAACCCACATGGTGCAGCAGACCTCTCCTGTTTCTCCTGCTGCTCCCCTGAGCAGTATATTTCTGTAGATCCACCTGTTCTGTTCCCCTCTCTGTTGCTGGTGAATTCTCTCATCCCTCTGTACCTCTGGGCTATACCCCAGTTCTTGTATGCATAAATAAATAAATCTTAAAAAAAAAAACAAAGTGCACATAATATCTGTTGATAGTAGTGTTATCTGTGTGATACATAGTTAGCTATTGATTTTTTGTCTAGTCTGACAATCTCTGCCTTTTGATTAGATTTAATTGTTGTCATATTTGCTTTTAAATCCACAATCATGCCATTTGTTTCCTATTTGTCCTATCTGTTCCTTGTTCTTCCTTCTTTCCTACCTCCCTTTGTGTTAACATGTTTTTTTCAAGCTTTCCATTTTAATTCCTCTGTTGGTTTTCTAGCTCTCTCTCTTTTATTGTATTTACAGTGGTTGCTTCTGGGATTACAAATTCAACTTACTCTATCGAACTTAGGAAAAATAATACATTATTATTCTGTTGACCCTTTGCCATGTCTTTTTTGTTGTTGTTGTTGTCATATATATACATTTATAAACATTATGTATCATCTATGTAATGTTACTATTACTTGCAACAGTTATTTGTCTTTCAATGACAGAAATTAAACTCTAATTTTCGGATTCACCCTTGCTGTGATTTTTCTGGCTTCTGGGGACTCCTCCTAATTTATGCCACTATGTTGTCCTTTGATCTCTGCCCTCTGCCCTTCCCAAACCATAAAATCAATTTCTGCATTCCAAGTGGCAAGTGACAAAGGAATGTAGTCAGTTAAAAGGGCAGTTACCTCACAGATACTGCCTGATTAGCTATCTTTCAACAGTAGATTCTTTTTCAGTAGTTGCCTGATCCTTAAAGAATATTTTAGCAGGTGAGGGAGTTTCATAGATTGAAATAAGAATCTTGGGGACTCCCTGGTGGCGCAAGGGATTAAACACAACCAGGTAGCTACCCACATGGCACAGCAGATCTCTCCTGTCTCACCCACTGCTCCCTTCAGTAGTGGATTTCAGTCAGTCTGCCTGTTCTGTGCCCACTCTGTCTCTGGTGAATCCTCTCACCCCCTGAACCTCTGGCCTGTATCCCCGTTCTTATATGCATAAATAAATAAATCTTTAAAAAAATAAGAAACTTTGCACTGCTATCCAAACCTTGAAGAGTTAATTGTTCCCCTCTTCAATAATTCCATATTATTCTATACATTCTAATATCACTTAGCACTTGATTATGCTCTCCCCCATTAGACAATCATTTCTTTTGTATCCAGTGTCCTTGGTACCTCATTGTTCTTGTACTCCACAAATGATAAGTCAATACATTTACTCTAATAATATTTGTTAATTTATCCTCTCATTTCACTGTCCTCTCACAGTATTCCTAACTCATTAAGTAATTTGCATTTCTATCACACATTACTCTGCTTAAATTTTATGGATAACAAGGGCTCCCCAATAGCTCACATCTGCAGAATTAAACTTGGCAATATGTCCACCAGGCTCTTGTCCTCCTCATAAACCCTATTTTTGGACCTAGATACCTCACAACAACCCTGTGAGGTAAATATTAATTACATTGTTATAGCTTAAAAAATATTACTAAAGGTTAAAAAGCACAATCGTTTTCTTCTGGGTTTCTGCATTTGTTTAAATTGGAAGTCTTAAGCTTCTGAAAGTTTCTGGTACTTCCCCTTCCCCTCCAAAGGGTTACATCGGAGGGACAAAAATGGCATCACACGCCTCAACAACAACACTGGAAGTTGGAAGACAATGAGAAAGTGACTTCAAAATTTGCCAGGAAATGTTTCCAACTTAGAATTCTTTGCATTGCCAAACTCTCATGGGGGTGAGTATAGAATAGTAAACTTTTCAGATATGCAGGAATTCTGATGGTTTCTGTCTCACTTTCCCTTTTAGGGGAAGCTATGTTAATATATGCTACACTAAAATGAGGGGGTCAGTCAGGAAATAGGACCATGGACGTTCATGAACCAGGCACTTCAATATAGTAATTCCCAGGAAATAGTGAAGGGAAATCCAAGGACAGCAGCCAAGTAGTGGGCTCAGAGCAACTACCATTCCACAGTTGCAAGAAGTAAATAATAACAGATATCTTAAATCCTAAATGTTCTACCATTTTTAGAGGTGTATTGTGTTTGCGTTGCAATGGTGGAGGGGCTTGGTTACACAGCGTCCTACCTGATCATTGTGAAGACCCCCAATGTCAAGCCATAGACATACAGAGTATCTAGATAGCCTTTGGGGTCTTCTAATCTGTGCAAAGACAGACAACAGAAAAATAAGTAAATAAAAATATAACAGTTACGAATTCCAAGAAAAATTTTGACCAAGAAAGGAAGCATGTTACTGTGTGGCTTAGCAAAGAGCAGTACTTACATATGTTATTATTTTAAGCCATGATCATGTTGTTTTAAACCAAAAACCTTAATTCAATTGGAAAGGTAGAAAGAAATGTGTCTGTTGTGGGGAAGGAGAGGAGGGTTTAAGACAGCTAAATTTTCATCTTTCATACAAAATCAATAGATGTGTGAAAAGGAAAAATCAAGGGATAGAAATTTATAAGCATGTCAAATTGTTTTTTAAAGATTTATTTATGCACACAAGAACTGGGGTCTAGGCCAGAGGTGAGGGGGGTAATTCACCAGAGACAGAGTGAGAGCAGAACAGGCAGATCTACTGAAATACACTGCTGAGGGGGCCAGCCAGCGAGATAGGAGAGGTCTGCTGTGCCATATGGGTTAGCTACCTGGCCAGGGATCAAACTGATGCCACAATAGCTGGTGATAGCTTGATAGTGCTGAGACTTTAACCCCTGCACCACTAGGGAGGCCCTAAGTATGTCAAATGTATAAGCATGTCAGAAGCAAACATCAGAATAAAAATCTACAAAGTTAAACTCTATAGTCTCTAGGTATCAGAAATCTGTGATAAGGAGAGGTAGGGGCAGAAAATTACTTTTTTGTTGTTATTGCAAACCTGTTTGGACTATATAACTCTTTAAGTCATTAAATATTTCTTTGGCTAAACATAAAATTTAATAAAAAAATAATTAGAGAAGACTCAGATTCATCTATACCTGTAAGCTGTTGGCCAACATCTTAGGGGTTTGCTGTTCACCACTCGAGGTTCAGCTCATGATTTTTGGCTTTACTTTTCTCCTTGGAGATTTCTGTGAATTCCTGCCAGCCCAGCAAAACTGGGCTTTCACTCAGGATCTAGTGGGGTTTTTTTGTTTTGTTTTTAGCAGACAGTCCTTTAATATCAATCACACTGTCAAGGCATAAGTTCCTGGTCCATGAGTTTCTAAAATATTCCAGTATTAGTTGCTTATCTTTCCGACTAGGACCTAGCATAGTACCATAGTGACTGGCACAGCATCTGACAAATTACAAAGTGCTCAAGAAATATCAGTTAAATGGAAATAATTTTGAGGGGGAAAATTGATCACATATGGACCTTGTTTTCAACAAGAGTGAACACAATAGAGAGATTTCAAGTTTCACTCCACCTAGCACTGACTCTTTGCCACAAGGAGGAAGGAAACTAGAACCAGGGACTAAATCAAGAATCCCCTGTTTCAAGCTCTCTATCCTAAAGATACTAGCAGCCTTTTCCTTGGGCAAGGTTACATGCAGGCTTTTTCTTACCTTGTAGTTCATTATGGGAGTTAAGGAAGGAGTACGGCAGTAGAGAGGCAGTGAGTTTAGTTTATAGGGGCAGTGAGTTTAGTTTAATTTACAGATTTTGGGAATCTGGATGGGACAGTAGATCCATGAACCTTATTCTAACTAGGTATTATCAGTATTATATCGAGATCAATCTCCATCTATCTGACTTGGATGTCCTGTTCCTCTATGAATTTACCTGTTCTGTATATATCATATAAATGAAATCATGAAACATGAAGGCCTTTTGTGTCTGGTTTTTTTACTCAGCATGATGTTTTCAAGATTTATCCATGTTGTAGCATATATTACTATTTCACTCTGTTTTATGGTTCTGTTGTATGGAGATACTGCTATGCTTTACCTATCAGCTGACAGACATTTGGATTATTTCCAATTATTCATCATCAATACTATGAATATTTGCATTGAAGTTTTTGTGTGAACATATTTCAGTTCTCATGGGCCTATCGCTAGGAATGCAATTGTTGGGTCATGTTGTTTATGATTCCCTTAAATTAAGGTACCTTATGATTACCTACAATTAAGAAATTACCAAATATTTTCTATAGTAGTTATATAAGCTTACATTACTATTTATCTCTCAAAATTAACAGATACATAAATATTATAGGGGATATGAATTATCATTACAAACTTTAAAAAATAAGCATAGAGTTGGATACATGAAACATTTAAAAAATTTTAAAATGCAAAAGAGACTACATTTCAGATAACAATGTAGGAAAACTAGACAATGGCAATGAAGGAATTATCTACTTGGAAATGAAAAACAGATTTTTAAAAAAAGATTTATTTATTTATACAAGAACGGGGGTTCAGTCAGAGGCGCTGGAGGGTGAGAGAACTCACCAGAGACAGAGTGGGGAGCAGAACAGGCAGACTGACTGAAGACACTGCTGAGAGGAGCAGCAGGCGAGGCAAGAGAGGTCTGCAGCGCCATGTGGGTTTCTCCCTGGCTGGCCGGGAATCGAACCCGTGCTGCAGAGGCTGTGGACAGCTTCACAGTGTGGCACTCAACCCGCTGAGCCACCCGAGAGGCCGAAAAACAATTTTCTAAGTAACTCTGGGGTCAAAGAAGAACTCAAAACTAAATCATAAGCTATTTAGAAATTAATGATGAATTCACTACATTTCAAAATCTACAGGATGAGCAATAGGGATTGACTAAACAAATTATGATATTAAACACAGTGGAATACTGGGTAGGCATTTAAAAAAGAAAAGTGGGGGAAATTTTATGACAGATACAAAGCAATGTCCAAGATATCAAAGAAAAGACAAGATACATAACTGTACTGAGTATGCTGTTACTTTTCACGAAAAGGAAAAGTAATTGAATGTACATGTACCCGCTTATATATGATTAGAATATCTCAGGAAGGACAACTAAGGGGACACGGGAGAGAGAGAGGGTAAGAAAAAGCAGCATCAGCAACAGGTGGATGATTCCAGGACAGAGAAAGACAAGAGAAATGTCACTAGCTATGTTTTTATACTTTTTAATTGTGAATCCTAGTAATACATTACCTGTCAAGAATAAAAAAAATCAAAATCATAAAACCAAACCAGACCAAAAAACAATGGCTGGTCTCCAAATTATTCACAAAGAATGATTTGTAACCTTAAGTGTCTTTGTTATTAAGAAAGATGAGAAATAAATTAAAGAAACACCCACATTAAGAAACCAGTAAAAAAATCCAATCAAACAAAACCAAAGAGCAGGATGGGAGAAAGGAAAGAGGTAGAGGAAGAAGGTAGAGAAGGGAACTTTAAAAAGATGAAGGGAGAAATAAATGTTATTAAAAGACCAAAACCAAATAGAATCAAACAAAAGAAAAACTGCATCTTTGAAAAGACCCATAAAATAGACAAATCTCCAAAAAGTTTTTTTTTTTGGGGGGGGGGTAAGATTTATTTATTTATTTATACAATCACTGGGTACAGTTGGAAGCGTGGGAGGGTGAGAGAATTCACCAGAGCCAGAGCAGGGAGCAGAGCAGGCAGAAGGACCGAAGTACACTGCTGAGGGGAGCAGCGGGCGGCAGGAGAGGTCTGCGCGCCATGTGGGACCCTCCTCTGGTGGCCGGGGAGCTGCCGGGGATCGAACCGGTGCTGCAGAGGCTGCGGGCAGCTTCGCAACCCAGTACTCAACCGCTGCGCCACCAGGGAGGCCCGCCAATAAGTCTTAATGAAGAACACTAGTAACAAAAATGGAATTATCATCGTATCTTTTGTGAAGATTTTAATAAAACTTTTATCCTAGTCAGTTGAAACATCTAGATGAAAGAAATTATTATGGAAAATAACAAACTACTAAAGTTATTCAAGATATGATAAGAGGCTAAATAGATCAATAACCACAGAAATAATTAATTTTAAAATAAAATACCTCTCAGAAACCACTAAGACTAAATATTACAAATTCATATTGGTTTATTTTTTGATATTCTTTTGTTGTTATTGTTGGTCTATTATTTTTAATAAATAATGAGGTCATCCCAATCTCACTGGTGAATATAAATGCAAGTATCCTCCATAAAATATTAGTAAATCAACTCCAGTTAAAAAAAATAGAAACAAAGAGTTCCATTTCTGATTGAAAGGGGCTAACCAGATATTCTGATCAACTAACCCAACAAAAGCTAGAATTGGCATATAAGTGTAAAAACATGGGAGAAAAAATAACAAGGAAAAACTAAAAGAAAACCAGTGTAGCTACATTAATATAGACAAGAGGCTTCAATGAAAAGAGCATTGCTAGAGAGAGGTCCACTGTACAAAACAGATGTATTTTACCAAGATATAATAATTAAAAAAGTGTGCCTAATTGTATAGTCTCAATAAAACAAAGAGAAAAATGCAAAGAGAAAAAGGATTATTTCAGTCATTGTGAGAAATTTTTACATGTCTTTCTCAGCTGATAGATTATGCAAAGAAAAACATTATTAAGGTTACTGAAGACAATCAAATTTAATAAACTTTTTTTTTAAAGATTTATTTATCTATTTACACAAGCACTGGGTATAGTCAGAAGCATGGGAGGGTGAGAGAATTCACCAGAGCCAGAGCGGGGAGCAGAACAGGCAGAAGGACCTAAGGACACTGCTGAGGGGAACAGCGGGCCCGGCGGCCAGGGATTGAACCGGTGCTGCAGAAGCTGCAGGCAGCTTTGCAACCCAGCGCTCAACCGCTGCACCACCGGGGAGGCCCACATTTAACAAACTTCATCAAAAGGACTCAACAGTTGTTTACAGTTACATGATGCATTTATAAAAATTAACCAACTGGGAATCAAAATACATATACCTATGTTAAAAGCCTGATATCACTCAGACTTTACTTATCAAAAATAAGTAAAGAAAACTCCATACAACTGCAAATTAAGAAGTATGAATAAATAACTTACAGGTCAACAAAGACAGAAATTAGAACAATTTTAGTATTGAATAACACCAAAAATACTAGGTATCAAAAACATGTGGGATGCAACAAAAACATATTTAGAAGAAAATTTAGAGCCTTAACATTTACCAAGAAGAGTATAAGACAAAAATTAAAGCACAC